CCAATACAAAAGGGTGGCGTTATTTCTAGGTAGCAATATCTTCCAGGCATTCCATGACGAAAGAAAAAAGCTATAATATAAACAAAGGACTTTACTTAACTTTTTTGTCACATTTGTGACAATTAATATGAATCTGCCTTAGTTTAGCGATAGGCAATAGGTTTTTTTAAAATACGTATTATTTTATTTTTTGTGTAAGTTTTAAATTACGGCGATAGATTGGGTTGAAGCGTCACATGACATTAGGCTTTTGTAGATTTTGTACAAAACTATAACGTAGCACGCCCCCTCTCCTCAACTTTAATACCTATTATCCAACAGGTTTTTGTTAAATTGAAGCAAAAAATATGTAGTCAAAAAATATATTAAATTGCTCTTTTTTTTTTAAACCCAGTCGTAATCCCTATTCGATTGACTGCCGCTTCTTACCGCATTGTTTATTATTCGGCCTAGACCTTCTGTGAGCCCAACGTACACACGACTACACGTCAAGCCACCATAATATCAAATTTCTGCAATCGAACTAATAATTGCTATTGTTTAATAATTAAACACAATTACCTCTACACAATTCCACGAGATCGAAAGTAATCTTTAATTATTTAGTAGGTAACTACTTACTACTATTTCATGAAAGGTCTCGAGGAAATTTAGGAATAATTTTCAAGCTTAACGTTGTGTTAACTTTCATTATTGTTGTAATAATAATAATTTAATGTTTTAAATTATGTTGCATGACGAAAAAAAGTACTTATCAGACCGCAATTCGGACCGCACCGCTATCTACGATATGACAAAATAAGAAAATAACCTCTCAAATTTTCAATACGTGCATAACCAATTATACTATTCTGGTACAATGGTAATTTACAGATTAAATAATCGTTTCGTAAGCACCAGACACTAAATTTTAAATAAAAACTGATTTTCACAACGGTTTTCATTTGTCTCTACTGTACATTTCTATTATACAGACAAACTCGACATTGAACCTCAACGAAACACTACGTGGCGAAACAGAAACAAATGGAGATTAATTTAGATCTTCCTTGTCTTGATTTTTTACGAACACCCTCAAAGACAGCAACAATTGACAATGACATTTAAAAAAAGAATCCGTTAGTATTTGAAGATCGAATTCGAAGGAAAAACGTTACGCCATAACGGTGCTCTACTTAACAACACATTAAATACTTGAGTAAATGTGTGTCTACTACTCGTTATTTTAATTGAAATTTTGTAAAAGAGCGTAAGGTGTTCATATTTCATTTAAAAACACCACGTGAAATGCGGGCAATACAAATAAAATTGTTTTATTTTAATCACGATGACGACATTATCGATTGTCAACATACCTCTTTCGAGCATTCTTCTCCATAAATTCAGCTTCTTGTAGATAAAAAAACGTAGAATCAAGTTACTGGAATAAATATAAAGGGTTCAAAATAAAATATTATATAAGATTGCACACTACTTTCTTAAAATAAATATAAACTTTTCAAGTCATTAGTCCACAGTTCGTTATTATTCGTTACACTCAAAAGGGGAATCATTCTTTGTCCTTGTCATATTTTAACAAAATGTTGTATGTTAAAAAGAGATGCAAAATAAGATCTCTAAAATGAAAATGGCTGATACCACGCGCTTTCCTACATAGACCATAACGCCACCTATATAGGAAATGGAAATACCAATTTTTCTATTTGTTTATGGTGTAAAATTGTGTTGCCATATCTTTCTGCGCAATGCGCGACAGATGTACAGTATTAGGGCAAATCTTTATTAGTTAAAAATGTAGTTATAAACTGTTTCAGTAATATTATTGCAAATTCAGATATAATATTTAATATAAATGGGAATTATTTTTTAACAACATTAACAGGATTAATATATTAGTAAATGAGTTCGTATAAATTACGGTTTTACGTTATAAATATCAACATTCACTTGACAAATTCATGTAATAGGAATAAAAAAATAAGTACCACGTAAAATATGTCTGGATACAGGTCGCATCAGTTGTTGGAGAGTGTTATGCAATACTGTGTCAACCCACAAATTGACAAAAATCGAGATATTACTACCATCCGCTTCCTTAGGTAATAAACTACGTTTATCAAAAGCATGTTAAGGAATTCAAACCATTCTAATACTAAAAATTTAACAAAAACTGTTGACACGTTTACAATATCTTCCATAGAATAATGAACAATATTGCGTCATGTTCCTTAACACATATACGTTTACTTAAAAGCGCGGTTTGTGTTAAGAAAAATGAGTCATGACTATGAGGCTTGATACATTATTGTATAATTCGATCATTCAGTCTAGGCATGTTGCAAGAACTGTTGGCGGGTTAAAATAATAATCTAAAGGATAACTCATTGATATAGGATCAAAAACTGTTAGAAAAAGAAGTTTGAAGCAGAATTTAAGTAAATACATTAAAGGTGAGTTAAGATTTTGCGTATTTTTCTGACTTTTACCAAACCGCTATCGAGGTCAGGTTAAAGTTTAAATTATGCAAAAATGTTTTAATTTAGTTATTACATACATTTTTGAGTGTGTTTGTAAACGTTATTTATTAATGTTAATTGTGGAATATCATAATATATTGATAATATTTCGATTAATAAGATCAATAATATTTACAGTTTCACTTAACATGTTATTGCTATATTACATAATTGATGTTTATTCAAGCGGTCATAGATTGTAACAGACTTAATCGATTATTGCAAAATACATCTGTCTGTCATTATTATGACTTAGAATTCTTGAAAAGCGTTCAAATACTTTGACTCGTTATAACAAAATTCCATTAATATTTATATCAATGTGCGTTTGATGGATTAGTGGATTTTATTTTTTTGTAAAAATGAGTAAAATAAAATGGTTACGAAATTTCATGTATTACTTTTCTTTAAGTTCAAGAGGTCACAAGCTCGTGGATCTCATAACACAAAAGGTAATTTTACCCAAGAGGACGTTTTTGGCAAATGAGAAAAAATTTGAAGTTGTTCCAAATCATGATATTTCAAGACAATCCTTAGTGGATATGGATATCTTACTTCCAGTTATCAATATAATAACAGATCAGGACTTACAACAGTCACTTGAGTACTGGACCAGGTGTACTGGATTATTATCGGACATTGACATTGATGCTCCAGTCATTGAGGTCTGTGACCAGGAAAAATCCCATATTACAGAGCCTCATCATATTATCATAAATCCTGAGAATATAAGTAGCCAAACTTACCTTATCATTTCATACAAAGAAGAACCAAGTACTTCATAACGTGGATGAAGGTGATATAAGAACAATTAAGCTATGCAACATAAGTAAACATAAGTATTGGAGCCTACGACGCTAGAAGAGAATTTTGAAAAACTGACATATTACCTACAAGGAGTTCAATACGCTGCTCTAGAAGATTCAACTTGTTCAGAGGTAACGTGTAACGAAACGGAAAATATATCTAATCGACAGCTAGGGAGACCCAGAAGAGGACGAAAAAGAAAATATATAGACCAAAACAGAAATATTACAAAAAAACGAATAACTATGAAAACTATAACAGCGTGTCAGGAAAACTTGTTACCTCTAAACAATTTGAGTATTTTCTAGAAAGTACTTACTACGAATCGCGAGTGGATGTTGTTTTTAAAAATTTAAATCACAAGCTCCGATAAATGATCAAAAGAGTACGAAATCGGGAGGAAGAAATTCTATTTCGGAACAATAATTTAACCAAATAAGACAATTAATTGAAGGTTTACCCAAGTACATATTGCATTATTGTAGAGATTTTAGGACTGCACGTTATGTAGCTCCAAATTTAAATTTTTCAACCGTTTATGACCTATATAAGGGCAAGCATGAAAATCCTGAGGGTATTTCAAAGTACAAGCAAATTTTTTTCAAAGAATTTTACCTGAGTTTCAGAAAACCTCAGAAAGATACATGCCTTCGTTGTGAACGCTTTAAAGCAAGCATATGCGGGAGTCATTGCGGAAATTGAGCAGTTAAAAAATGAACATTAAGCCGACTTAGATCACGCTTATAAATTGAGAGATCAAATGAAAACTGATTTGGCTCATACTAAAACTGAGGATTCACTGGAGGCTCTAACGTAATAGTTTTTATATTTTTTTAAAGAATGCTATTTTTATTACAGCAATAGTAATGTAGTTACCAGACGGTAGGACGGAAGGCCATAAAAATCTGGCAAAACTTTTTAATTTACGAAAATGTGTTCTTAGAGTTGAAGGGTACCAAATATGATATCAAGTCAATATATATCATTCCATTTAAAAAAGTGAAATTTTAAAAAGGTGTTTGATTTTTCTTGACATCTTGACACTATGATGCGCTTTGCTTAACTTTAGTAAACCATTATTCAATAGGGTGTCAAGGTATATGAAATAATGCAGGTCACGTATAAATACTTTGTTTCAAATTTAGCAATAATATGTCATGAGACTTAAATCTGTTTTTCATAAATTGTTATCGATTCGACATTTTCCAATAACCGAATATTTAATTTATTTATTAATTATGTGTTATTTTATGATTTTCATCTTGATAATTGCTTCCTAGATTATCCAATCGTTTAAATACATTCACAAAGTTATTTATTTTTATAACACAAACTTTATTTAGACAAATATGTTGTTTTCATTTTTAAACACGATTTTCTCGAAATGGTGATCTTTTGGCTTGACATAATATTGCATAACAGCGTCATAACAGCGTGCAGGAAACGAATGGACCAACCATTCGTTTCCTGCAAAAATCAACTTTTACTAGAGTCGCCATCTAGTGGAGTTGCTTTTTTAATGCTTTCTATTTTGTAAATACTTCCTCATTCGCTAATCGAGAACTCTTATACAGCCTATGCAGGTGAAACTACATGTAAGAGCGAACATAGCTTTTTTATATAGTAACACCTATTTGACAATATAGCTCTAGAGTTTATGGAAATCTAATAAAAAAAATTACAACAATGTCAATGTCAGTTAAATAAAGGCCGCGAAATAAAAAAGGGCTATTATAGTTTTGTGGAAAATGATAATCGTCCATGTTTTTAATAGTTTATTACTTTATACTCCGATAATACCGGTCTTAAAACATGAAGTTTCGCTCCGTGATGATTGATGCTGGTCCTATGCGAGAATTCTCAAGTAAACATTGAACGATGTAAAAAATATCAAAAGTTATATTTTTTTCGGCATCAATAACATGTTTTCGGCATTGTTACAGATGTTGTAACTACGATTTCAAAACTATCGAAAGAGTGTGTGTTAAGAATAGCGGAAGATAAACTCTACTTTATAGTCAGTGATGAAAACAACGGTCCGGCGCCACCGGTTTTGTGGTGTGAAATACCTCAACCAATGTTTTTTTCTGAGTATCAAATGATCGGTCTTGACGATGATCATAAGGATATTTATTTAGGATTTGCAGCTGGTAATTTATTTTGTCACCAAAAAAATGACAAAAAATTATCTGTCATATTATATCAATTTTGCATGCACAATGCTATCCTGAAAATATTGTTAATGAAAAATGCTTAAAGAATCCACTTGTGTCCACTCCCTGACACTCTGAGATGGGACTCGAACTCATGACCTTTTGCAATCCGGGTGATTGCACTAACAAAGCGTATTTCAACAATGATCAGGCAATTCACAAAAAAAAAAAAATCAGCGGAGGAAATAGTTTTACAAATATTTCAATTTTTGATAAAGATGAAATTTTGTTTATTAAAACAAAATTATTATAAATTATTAATTATTATATTTACAACTTTATGAACAGTCATTCTAACATAAATTATTATATTATATTATTACAACTGAAATACCTATATATATACTAAATGGCATATATCTATGTCAAATAGTAACAATACTTACATATCTAATTAATATTAGTTCAATTTATGAGTAAATCTTATAAGGAATCTAGTATGTTAGTTTGTAAATTTGATTGATTTTTTTATTGAATTATTAATTAAACAGTAAATCGAACATCATGAAACACACTTAAATCCCTTTACTATAGGTGCTCCTCATTAAATTTTGAAATAACTGTTCCTGTCCTTTCATCAAAGGTTCACGAATGCTTTATAAAACTATTATTAAACTTCTTGTTTTAAGTTGTGTAATAAAAATTGATTCGTTTTTCAGCTAATTTGGCAAGATCTCTTTCAACATTAAAGTCTGCCAAGTGCTTGAAAATGAAACTGACAAAGAAACAATGTCCATGTTTAACTCTGGAAATTGAAATGGTATACTTATAATTTTTACTTTAATGATAATTATCCTCATCATCATCATCAGCCCTTTCACGTCTCCAGTGCAGGGGCTCAGGCCTTCCTTATGAATGGTTAAGGAGGATGGGCCATGACCCTCAACGCTGGCCCAATGCGGATTGTAGGGTATTAACGACTGCAAATGCAGCCGGGACCAACAGCTTAACGTGCCTTCCGAAGCACGGAGTAGCTCGAGATAATATTTTTTTGGCCACCCATCCCATGACCGACCCTTGCGAAAGTTGCTTAACGACAACGATCGCGGGCCGCGGCTCTTATTCTCTACGCCACCAAGCTACTTGCGATGCAAATGGCATTGTTAAATAAGACACCGCCATGCTTTATAGCATCAATCCCGCTACGATCACTACATTGAGGTATCTCAACAAAAATATTCTGAAAATATTCTATTTAATAATAACACAAATTATTTAATTATTTGACAATTATCCTAATAATGATTAATAAAGATAATCTTCTATTATTACAAGTTAAGCTGTGTGGTATAGAAAAAGTACTTGCTAAGGTGTTGTATTAACACAACACATCATTTGGCCAAATGTAAGCAAACTAGTAGAGCAGTTGGTGTGTCGTGAATGTTGTAATAGAAAAACTATCACCCAGTTGCACAAACATCCATTAAAATTAACATTAGTGTAAAGCGACATTAATTAATGTTTCAAATTTAAAATATTCATTAGAGCCTAAAGTCATCATCAAATCTTAATGTAATTATAATGTATAAAATTTAATAATTTGCTGAAATAGCCTATTACCTGAAATAACTATTCATATATTAACTATTAGATGAAATAACTATTTGAGAGTTACCTATGTGATTCTGTGGTCTCTATAAGATATTACCTTTAGCGTATATCATAATTGCTTCTTTTGTATTCAGTCCTCTCTTTATGAATTTCATGGAATGTAATAAAGAAAAAACAAATTAATTCAATCACTTATTTTCCAAACTACTAAGCAAAAATTTGTGTTATGTATACCTATATAAAAGGAGATGTCCCATTTTTCTTTCTCTCTCTTTTACCCAGTTGTCTACGACATATTCATTATAATATTAATAATTTGAATTTGAATTTTAGCATTTACGCTCTCACGTCTAACCCTCTAAACAGAGTCGACTTGAGATAGGACATACTTAGATTGTCTTTTGTGATAAAAGAGTTAAAATATGGAATTAAAGTCTGTTATTGCCAAATACAAAAACCATGAAACTTTATTTCAAGTATTTAACATGATATAATGATTGAATATTCGTTTTAGAACTGCTGCCCATAGTAACTATACCACGCGGACGAAGTCGCGGACAAAAGCTAGTTATTAAATACTAGTTGTTTTCCCATGATATCACCCGCATAAATTATAGCTAATATCATCCGCGTATGATGTAGCTTCCGTAGGTGAAGAATTTTTAAAATCCCTACAGTGAAGCTACTGAGAGTGTATTCGAAGCAAACAAACAATCAAATCTTTCCTCTTTATAATTTTAGTATAGAAAACATACATTGTATTGTATTGTTTCGAGTTGAATGAATGTGGACCACTAATCCACAAACGAAGCATACATCTGGGACGACATATAATCAGCCCAGAAGATATAAAATCTCTATCCGCCAGGAATATAATAGACTTTTTGAAGTCTACCGGGCAAAAGGAGTTACTATAGATCTGGCGGCGAGTCACAATAGATCTTCAAGGTCGCAGTGACTACAGATCCTCAGGGAACTCCATAGCCCCTTACAGCAATAAATAATAAAATAATTGTTTCGAGTTGTGGATAATCTTGGGTTTATGCAGCCCGGTATCACTGCAACCATTGCTGATCTATTGTGATCTCCACATACTACAGTTCTCGGTCAAGATTACATTCTTCGAGAAAATGTAGTATTGTCTTGGCCGTGAGTTCTTTAATATTATCTGGGTGCATCACATGCTTCCCCACACAGATACATCGTTTTCGTATTAGCGACGAGCAATCAGTCAAAATGTGTAAGGGTGTTTCTTCCTCCTTGCATCCTCTGCACACTCTACTACCGCTGATCCCGATGTTGTACATGTGTCTGTTCAGTCCAGTGTCCTGTGAGTGCTCGTACTAGTGTGCGAAGGTTGTTTTCAGTTAGGTTTAAGGCTTCTGATGCCGCCTTTTTGCTGAAGGCTTTAATCAGGGTGTTAGAGTGTTTCATACCGGGAGTGTTTCTCCATAGTTGAATAGCTGCATAATGGCAGTACGTTTTCAAGGTTAGCTGGGTTAGGCTTTGAGGGGTGCCACAGAACGGTTCTGGTTCGATAAGGGCATCTTTAGCACCCTTCTTCGCCAGTCTGTCCGCCTGTTTAAACACACATTAGTAATAAGTATTAATCTTGTTCACACATCAGCCTTCGTCAACTTCGCAGCAAACCCGGCATGTGACATATGACATTCCAGTTGTGGTCATTCCAAGGAAAATGTGGGCAGACTTCAATGAACCAAAGACTCCATATCCTGATGTAAGCACTTTTATTACTGAATTGTGACAATTATACAATGATTCTTCAGATAACATTCCCATACCCATCATTGTAGATTTCATGTTGTAATCATAGTTTTAATTCTTATTTTCTCCTGTAAAAATTATAATATGGAGTGAAGTAACTAAAAGGAGAATGGGTTGATGAAATGGGACAAGTATGGAAAGGATCTTAAATTTCATGACGTCACATTTATTTATACGTAAAGAATTCATTTAAATTTTCTAAATCAGATTTTTTTGTAATTTGATAATCATTATAGGACAACAGGCCTTCCCTATGAATGGAGTTAAATAGGTATATACGGGCCACACTTAACCCACCACGCATGCTATTGCGGATTGCCGAGTGTTAATTAACGTCTGCAGATGCAGCCAGGACCAACAACTTGACGTGGTCACACACCTTAGGACCGGCCCTAGTAAAAATTGCTGAACCTCCATACTATAGACCGAACGCATCAACCACGACGAAAGCGAACGTAAACGGCTCTATATTCTACCAATGTTACGTCCTATTACCAAACTAAAAGAAATTAGTACAACATTAATGAATAAATCAAAACTGACTCAATCAGTGCAACGATCATAATGTTATCTACATTGTGAGACTGTAAAGCCCTATGAATGAGGGACAGCTGAGCATCAGACTGGCTGCCATATAAATCTATTTTGTATATTTATAGATCTCAATCGAGTTGCCACCGCTGAAACAATTACGCACCACAATAGATAGGATGAGAACCATGGCGTCCGAAGTAGTGATCAGGGCATCCGCAGAAGGCAGACTTACGTTGCAAATTAGAACTGACATGGCCAAAGTATCAACAAGGTTTAAGGATCTTAAAGTGGAGGCTTTTGGAGGTATTTTTTCCATCTATAATTTACAATGCAAGTGCCTATCGACAACACTTCAAATTCTACAAAAAAGTCAAATTTCTTTACATGATTTTGAATGAAGGTGTGTATTGTCAGTGAGACAGACGAGCAGATGCACAAATGTCCATTAAAATTGACATTAGTTTAAAGCGACATTACCCATACAAATTTGTCATTCATTAGAGCTTAATGAACATTTGTGCAAAGGACCAAGAGTCTAATAAGAAGACTCTAGGTTACCCAGCGGGCAATGGAGAGAGCAATCCTTGGTATATCTCTACATGACCAAATTACAAATGAGGAGATCCATAAGAGAACCAAAGCATTACTGACGTTGCTGAAAGGATTGCTCAGCTGAAGTGGCTGTGAGCAGGACACATAGCTAGAGGGACTGATGGCCTTTGGGGCGATAGGTTTTGCAATAGGTTTTGGAATGACGACCACGCTTTCGAAATCAAATAAGTAGCCTGATGTGCAGCTACATGATATTTTATATGTACATAGAAATATCATTTGCAAAGTTGGAATTATATAACGTTATTGTATATGTACCACAGATTAATTTATATTTATTTGTTGAAATGTGACAGCAGATAATGATAAAATTTGAAATATTTAATTTAGTTTGGTTTAGAGTGATACAACAGAATTGGTAACATTCCGCATTTCTATGAGAATTTCAATTATGGCATAATTTTTAATTTCCTTTTGTTTCAGGACCAATAGAACATTCAGACTCTGAAACTGAATCTCAAGATAACGAAGACATATCTAGGATATGCTACTGCAAAGTTGATGCCAAGAAATTTTCTATATTCCTTAGTGCAGAACAAATATCGCACAATCGAACTGTGTGTAGCATTGTGCACAAGAAACTAATAATTTTGTGTTTACAGACTCAAGAAAATGTTAAATTGCAGTGTTTTATTACCGGGATTGTGTATTAAGGAATTTTATGTGCCTTCTTTATTTAGTGTTAACGTGTAAAACTTAATTCACTGTCTGACAGTGGCACTAATACTTTTAATTATTTTTTTTGCTACAAACATTTGGAAAGCATGAGTTGTGGCAAAACATTAGTTTAATCCACACAAAAAAATATATTATATAGGTACAACAAATGTAATAAAAGTCATATTTATTGTAACAATCACTTTTATTCCAGTGACAATTTATATTACAATTAACTTCAGACCAAGTTCAATACATTTCAGAAGGGTTTCATTTGTGTGAGACGATAAAATTATATATTTCGGACATTTCAATAACACTTGATACCATTATTTTTAATTTTATTTCACACAGTATGACCAAGCGTTACCACAGTATTCGTTAGATATTAGGCAATTATAATCAACACGTCAAGTTCGTCTGTAACCTTTTTATTATACACAAGAAAAGTTGTATAATAGCGTAATTGTATCAAGTAAAACCTTTATTTAAGGCTACACATGCACTGAATTGACACGTGAATTATTCTTCCCATCACTTTTCCATGAAAGTTACATAATAGTGTTCAAGTTTGCAACGATTCCAAAAACGGTGTCAAAATCACTATGACAAAAGCACCAGTGCGAATGTAGCTTTATTTTCACAAATTACTTTTCGTATCGACATTTTCAATCTTACCATAAGACGCTTAGTGCTCTTTAACATTATATGATCACTTATGATAGTGGTGATAATATAATATTAAAAATTAGTAATTTACCAAAACTTAAAATGTAATTCTTGATAAGTTGTTGAAATATTTATTCTTGTAAATTAAACACTTGGTATGTACTGATACGGTGTGTAAAATCAGTCAACATTTCTATTTAAATCAGTTATATGTTAATTGGAAGGATCTCTCGTTGTCCCTTCTTAGTGTATCGTGTGTCGCCTTCAGTTGATCTAATTTCGTTGAAATCTGTGCAATCGAGTTGTCTATCCACTGCATAGACGACATGTGAGCGTTCAGTATACGACCAATTTGGACTATCTGTAATGTAAATAGTTTATAATATACACTGTTTATGTTTATTTGCTGTTCAAAACATGACATTAAACTGCTGCATAACTCAATACTGCATTGAATGTTGAGTGCACCGATTCAATAGTTTCCAAAGCCAAATCTAAATCCCATTTACACCTTGGCAGTATGTTTCTAAATATATAAAATTAATATCAACAACATAAGATTGCTAAAATATAGATCAGTTTTTTAATTTGCTTTTGTTCCTTCAATTATTATTACATTTGTAAATATTGTCGATAGAAGTAATACTTGAGGAAATGTCCCAACTTGAGTAAATATTTAAAACAATAGATGAGAATTTAAATTAAGTAATAATTTTCTATCTGAAAATTCTAGCTATTCATATTTCTAACTTCATACAAATTCTTATTTGGTAAAAATATCTGATTAACTTATGACATATTCTCGAGTGATTACTTCCCTCGCCTATAGAAACGAAAGTTAAAAGCGTTCTAAACAGGCGGTTGGTAAAATTTGTATTTATTATATATTAATATAATATTTTTCACTTACCGGGTCGTTACTGTCTTGACTTCTATTAGTTTCGTTCAAATGTTCAATAACCTCTTTCAGGTCTTCTGACATCTGCCTAAGTTGTGAATCTAGATTCTCAGCCAGTGAATACCTGGAATAAACAGTATTTTAACATCAATTTGCTGATTACCCAGTACATTAGAATAAACATATCATAGCATAAAATTTTCGGGTATACACAGCACACATTTTAACCCTTTAACTCAAAGGTAAAATTTCTACAGACAACTTTGAATTCAACTGTCATCAGATTAAAGTTTCAAATATGTTGGAAACATAAATATAGAGCTATAATTAGGAACCAAACATAGAGATTTTGTGTATGTGTATCTCACGTTGGTCGGTGGCCTAGTGGATAAGCGCCGCGGCCCGTGATCGTAGTCGTTAAGCAACTTTCGCAAGGGATTCACGGGATGGGTGACCAAAACATTATCTCTAGCTACTCCGTTCTTCGGAAGGCACGTTAAGCCGTTGGTCCCGGCTGCATTTGTAGTCGTTAATACCCTCCAATCCGCATTGGGCTAGCGTGGAGGGTCATGGCCCATCCTCCTTAACCATCCATAAGGAAGGCCTGAGCCCCTGCAGTGGGGACGTAAAAGGGCTGGTGATGATTATGTATCTCACGTTAGATTTTCCAGAGTAATCATGAAAATAGTATTTTTCCTAAGGATCATAAAGTCCGATTTATTTCATTGTTGCAGAGTTCTTGTGTGAAGTTTTCCGATGCAACTGATTAGTGCGTTCTGTATGAGATTGCGGAAGTTAAGCAACTTTCCTAAATGCCAATCATGATGTAAATGATTAAACAACTGTTCCGTGATCCGGAATGCACGTCAAGCCGTCTTTCCCCATCAATCCGCACAAGATCCGCGTGGTAAGTTAAGGTACTCTTGTACTTCCACTTACGTTCCCATACAAATACGCATCGAAAGTAAAGACGCGCTCGCTTGATTTCATATATTTGCAATCACAGATTTTTTTTTCTGTGATTAAACATGTGCTAATAAGAATGCAATTATAAAATAAAAATGTAATCAAAAGAATAAATCAAAACCTATATTTTTATATAGGTAAGATGATATATACTAGTAGTAAAATCGATCCAAAAAACCTATTTAGTCATCTTTGCGATCTTTTTCTATTGAATGACTTTTGAAATTTATTATCTCATTTGCAAGCAATGAATCATATGTTTAATTTTCATAAAATGATTGCATATTTCGCAAATATTAACATACCCAAAGAATAATTTTAGTGATTTCTAGCGAATATAAAAAAAAAATGAACTTAAAACACATACATATGTTCCCTCTCGGGGTCTCGTAATCTGTCCGGCGCATCGTGTAATTGCTTCTCAAGGGGTGCTAATAATTCTTCTAATTCTTTCTGTTGTGCTAAAACGAAATCCAATTCGTGTTCTAAGCCTTCCTGTTCGTTTTTCACCGACTGCACTGCGTCGTTTAATTCTACTATCTGCAATAAACAATAATAGATTCATAAAAACTCAGCAGTCTGGGGCCTGAAGGAGAAAAAAAGACTAATTATAGAATATTTCGTATGAAAACATATCCGAGGCCTAATTGTCTATTTTTTAAATTAATCCCGTAAATAAATCTATCCCTTTCAGTTTGACATTTGAGAGATATACACGACCTTCACACTTCAACTATTTGACATATGATATGACGTTCTTTTGGAAGATATTGAATGAAGAATATTGATAATACGTAAATTGGAATTGCCTTAGACAAGTATTAGTACCAAGTTCCTATTATGTTTTTTATCATTCAAAGCATCACTCGCTTCAAAATCGATTGCGACTTGTAAGTTATATGTATAATTCCATAAATCGCTATCAAAATTTCTATACCTTTTTGCGGTTGCGAAAGGATTGCGATATATTTTAAAATTTGACAATTAGGCTACAGAATAGGGCTACTGTTTGAAACAGTATTTGGAAGCGTTAATTTTCAGTAAATAAGCTACGAAATAAGATATTTCGGAAAAATAAACAAGTTTTTCTCTTGCCATATAATTAAATTAAACTATTATTCAAATAGTACCTGCGAAAACGCTTGTTATTTATAACCTGCGAAAACGCGACTTCATGTCGGTATGTATATGTAAACAAATGAGAAGAATAAGATATATTATTTATAGCTTATAAGATGTCCATCAGAAATGAACAGTCCCATCTAACGATCTGGCTAAAAACATATAGTTAAGAACTAGGAATTTGATTTATAATAAAATTTTTCACTATCGAAACTACCATACTCTTTTCAGAATTCTTATATGTAAGGTGTAAAAAAAATTTTTTTCATACGTCTTGTTCCGCTCCGATTACCCCGCTAGCAGCACAAAATACACTTACCTTTTCTCCATTCGCTATGAGCAGTCGATCCCACGCGTTGATTTGAGTAGCTTGGTTTATAAATGTTTTTTCTTGCTCTTCCAAGTCTAGAGTCCATTTGTTGATGTTCTCTTCTAGCTGTGCGAAAGTGATGGACGATATAGCCGCTGGTGGGGCGGCTGCCGTCGTGCTGTGGGATGAAAGAACTTGTATTGTCCGTTTTACATATGGGTATGGTGACGTTTGTTAATAAATCCATTTCACGCAATTCGGTATTTCCAAATAATTAAAAACCATTGTTATAAAAATTAGTTTGACTGTGTATATATTAGATATTTATTTAAATTTAAATTTGTAAATGTTAATAGCCATAATTACTGTAATCTAACTTTTTAAAGTTTAAAACAGCAATACTTGTTACGAAAATTGGATGTTTTTGTTAATTTTTTTTTATAGAGGATTGCATTAAGATAGATAGATAGATAGATAGATAGAATATTCTTTATTGTACACACAAAGACAAAAATACATTTATATGACGAAAACAGGAGACGTACAATTGGCGGCCTTATCACTAAAAGTGATCTCTTCCAGGCAACCTTGGGATGGAGTTAAATATAAAAGATCTAATGATGGGGTAGTGGATGGTGTACATATAAATAATATAATGTAATACGTCCCAAAAGCGACGTATTACATTATATTATTAAGAAAATCGTTTTAAACAAAATATGTATTTGGTATGCATTTAATAATTTTTTAATTATTGCTGTCGTAAAAATCAATCTTAACTATTATAAAATCTTTTTTCTTCTTATGAATAAATATTTTTCTTAAACCCTGTTTTACATATTGACCTCAAAATCGATTATCTCTATTAGAAAATTTAAAAAAAGTTTTGTCTTGCTAGCTATCTTACGCATAGTATCATCAATACATCATCAGTGATATCATGAAAAATCGTTTATAATCAATATTTATTATAATATTGCGTAATGCGTACCTATTCTAAGTTATCAAGCGCGTGATATCAGAAACTATATAAATTGGTAAACATGAAAAGATTTATATAAAAGAGGTGAGAGACTTATCGAAGCACGGAAGAGCTCAAGATAATTAATTTTTGGTCACCCATCCTATAGCCGGCCATTGCGAAAGTTGCTCAACAACAGTACCGCAGACCGAGCGCACTAATCACTGTTCATCGAACAATTCTCGTTTGATTTACATTAACAGAAAAAAAAACAAGATATATTTTCATTTTGTAAAAGTATCAAAGATGACACGACGGAGTACATTATTACGTATAAAATTTTCTACAATTATTAGTTTTCACTTTCTTAAGATTGTCTGAAGTCTTGTTTCAATTTTTTGTTCATAAGTGTATGTATAGGATACAACATTATACTTACGTAGTGGCATTGGTTAATGATGGCATTGTCAATGCGCTAGACTTGCCGAGAGCTGTAATTCCAGTAGCTGCAGTAGTAGTAGCAGCTGTAAAACAAGAATCAGTAATAGATAAATAAATTCTAAAGTAATACAAAAAATATGTCTTTAATTCACCAAACATTGAAGACAAAACGGTTAAGAATAAAGTTTAAGTTAGACAATGTCTTTAACTAAACCGCTAAGACGACAATACTTTAGAAGGGTTACACAAACTGGAGTAATTAAAGTTTTTATTCTGTCAAACTGCGTTTTCAATAAATTATGAAAATGACAGAAAAATACTTATTACATATACATGAGTACAGAATTCCTTAATTACATGTAATTAAAATATGACTTTTTATATCGATTTAGAGTGGTACAACAGAATTGGCACCATTTTTGTATCACTGAATATTATAAAATCCTCTGCTGTGCCTGCCTGTCTGAGTAAGATGAACTAAAAATATATCCAATGGATTTATTATTTGATTTTGTATTCAAAGTTTTATATAAATTGTATTTAACTTTGAGGGTTATTGTGGAAGTTAAAAGAAAACAATCATGTCTTTTTAAATGTGAACTTAAGTCACTAGAATTCGTAAACCCACGATTTAATGTTAAAATAATTATTGTAGTTCAATTCAACAGTGTTGATATAAAAATTATACTGATAATTTTACCTAATACTGCCTCTACCGTTTTTTTTCAACAAAAAGAAACAAAAAAGAATTGCCTGTTTTATAATTATCAGTTACACGATTTAATTTTGAAATTCTTGATATTTAACCAAAAATAATTTTGAAAGAAAATGGATGACATGTCAAAAGGAACTCTGTCAAGAATTTGGATATTTAAAAATATTGTACACCTAACATTTTTATAAGACCTTTTTAGTGATGTATTTGATTTTATAATTAACCCATTAGCGCCCAAATTAAAACGAATAATATTTTTAGTAATATAGCTTTATTAATAGGGTACTTATGGACTATAAAGACACATTGTAATGTTAAAAACAAAATGTAAAAAATAAAAATAACTTTTTGGAGCCGTACTTTTTATAGTACAGCGGGCGCTTATGCGTGATACTTGGCGAAACAATCTTTATCTATACACAATGTCTTTTGGCATTGGTTACACTGCCATTTTATACGAGTATGACACAAAATACACCTCAATTGTTTGGGCAGCTTTTTAGGGTTATGTCCGTTGTTTTTTGGGCATGGTCCTGCTATTTCAGTACCAGATGGACGGCTTATGATACTGTTGTTACGCTGTAAATAATGTCTCGCTACGTGTCGCCGAAAGTCCAACTGGTCAAAGCGTTCTTCGCTGCTCATGCTGTGCAGACGCCAAGCGTTAGATACACACATATCAAGCAAGTAGGTGAAAATAGACCACCACCACTTTTTTCCACGTAAACTCACTCGATACATTGAAATAGATGCATCCATAATATCGACGCCGCCCATGCTCTTGTTATAGGCTTGAAATAGATGTGGAATATTCACATCAACCTTCTGTCTGCTTTGTGAACACCACCGTTTGATTTTTCCAATAGGTTCAACTGTGTCAAAATTCGTACCAATAGTGCATACACTGTTGTCCTTCCATCTGACAAGCAAAACTTCGTTCTTTGCATCAAACCGATAATCAAACTGAGCTCTTTCAGATTTTTTCATGTCTTTCACGGAAGTAAGAGGGCATTTTTTTGTTCGATTGTCTCTTATTGTTCCTGTTGCTCTAAACCCACACTCTTTTAGTGTGATAAACAAATCATAACATAAGTCTTCTTTATCTAACACAAATCCATGTCTGTTATTTTGTCCTGCATAAAGCAGTGTGTTACTTAGGATCAAATCATAAATTTCGGTATTAAATATTTTATCAAAGACTTCTACTGGTGATAGATTTTTTAGCTGTTCGATTAGTCGAGTTTTTTGTGATGAACGTGTATTATTTTCAGATAGTTGGGAAAAAGATAAGTAAGATGGTGAACATTTCCTCCACGTCGGTAATACATCATCTGGATTGGGACGCCTTCTTTTGTTCGATAATGGTTCATTGTCACTATCTTCCCATTCTGACGTTTCAGATGAATGACGTCGTCGACGTGTTACCTCGATAGTTCCAGGAATATCTCTCCGTAGTTCTGACGTTTGTAAGTCGTCTTCTTCTTCTTCTTCGTCCGTCAATACATCAGGTCCAGGCGGTAAAATAATAAGGTCATACTCGTTATCACTCTCATCTTCCGCAATGGCGTTTACTGCTTCCTCAAGCCCGCGATATTCATTCGCAGCACAGAATCGGGTCATTTTTTCTGCAAATAAAACATAACAGTAAAGCCCACTGTACCAAAAAAACGACATCAAGATATATCGTAATCTAACTCACAAGATACTTGATAAATTCTAGATGGTTTATTCATTACAGTAACTTAGTTTCATAATCAAATAATCAAATGCATAATTACATTGAAAAACACACGTAAACCTATTTAAAAAGATTAAATAATTGGCTTACCTGAGCAGCTAAAATCTTTGCGCACTAAAATGTCAAAAAATGGCGGTAAACCGATAACTTTCTTAACTTTTTTTATACTCCCATAGAAGCTAACGCCATCTCTTATTTATTTTATGTATTGATTTGTTAGAAGCATATGCAAAAAACTTTTATAAAAGGTTTAAAATGGTGTCGTTTATTTAGTACAGAGGGCGCTAATGGGTTAATAGTAAAAATATTTTAAATATGTCTTTTTTAAATATAGTATAAATATTTTTGGAGTGCGAGTTGGAAACACTTTCATTAACATAAACATAAACTTAAAAATAAATAGAACGGACTTGAAACTTAAAAAAGGGAAAAATAATACTTATCCCAAAAGCGACGTATTACATTATACACTTATTATTTATACTATTGAAGTCTGGCGGAAGTTTTCTGTAGGTTATTAATTGATAGGAGTCCGACTTCAATAGCATTTTCTTGAATAAGTCGCTTTTGAGATAAGTATTATTTTTCACTTTTTTAAAGTTTGAAGACGGTTATATTTAAAAAAAGAAATTTCACGATTTTTTGCGATATACTTATCTAAAAACCGTGTAAAAGTCGCTTTAAACAATACATGCAATGCTATAATGGTATAAGAGTCGGTGCAATTATTACGCAAAAAATAGCAGAATCGATGTCTAGCAAAACGATTCCTTAAAAATCCGAATCCGAATTTGAATTCACTCAGATGTCCGAATTCACTTTGAAAGTGCACCCGCTAGAGATATCACAAAGATTGCCCATACGTTTTTCGCTAGGCGTGGTGTTATTTCATTGCTTGAATTTGTAGGGAGCGTTTTCGGTCGACTAGCAGCAGTTCTATAAATATAGCACCATATCTCAGAAACTATTAATCGCAGACATACTGTTATATACATTTAAAAAAATCAAAAAACGTTGTCAACTCGCCTATTGCCCTACAGGCTTGAAGGATATGAAAGAGAAAACAACTCACCTGTACTAGAAGCGGCCGTAGCAGTAGTGGTTTTAGTTCCGAAAGTGAGTCCAGCTGATGTACTGGTTGTTCCGAAAGTGAGTCCACTAGTCGTAGTGGCCGCTTTAGTCGTAGCAAAGCTCAATGCGGTCGCAGCCGTAGACGCGGCGGTACCGAAACCTAGTCCGCTTGTAGCAGTCGACGTAGCGAATGTCGGCGCCGTAGCACTCGTAGTTGCCGTACCAAAACTGAGTGCCGTAGCTTGAGTAGTGGTCGTACCGAAATTTAGCCCCGTTGACGCTTGAGGCGTAGAAGTTATACCGAGACCTGCCGTAACGGAATTAGTTTATTGGAGTGATAAATCAAGCTGATAAAGTCTGTCGCATTTACTAGACTATATTATTTTAAATAATAAAAATATATTATTTACATTTTTAATGCAAAATGTAAACTTTCTATTCAGTGGGGCTTAAGAACACGATTAATAAAGGTATACAATAAATTTCCTACGTAACCTAGATTGGGTTTCTAGGGTCTATATTTCGATCTTAATATTTCCATATTTACTGGAAGAAATCACTTTAAGCGATAAGGTCGCCAATTGTTACATAATTACGTAAACTTTTATAAATTTTTATATACAGCGTGTTTGGTAATACCTGTATAATCCCGAAACATGGCCATACAACCTAGCACAAAGAACACAATTGATAGGTCAAAAAACAATTTCATGTAAATTGATATTTTCATACAAATATTTGAACAATTTGTTTTCAATTACTACTATTGCAATTTTTTTTTCAATTAATGCTACAACCCTGTAAGCTTACACGTGCCGTCCCGGCGCACTCGCTCTTTCTCTCTCTCTCTCTCTCTCATTACCTCTCACTCTCTCGTTTCCTTGAATACATTTTGATGTTGCCGACGCGCGCACTCGACTACGTATGAGTTTACTTGTAATTAAAACAATTTAAGATTAAATAGGTACATACCTATTGCGTTCTAATCACTCTTTCAGCTTTCACTTGTCAACATTACCTACACTTCACCTCCACTTTATCAGTCCAGGGTCTCGATATGCCGGCCACCGCATAAAACACACATCTCCATTCGACTCGACACAGACCGTGTCGTGTTACTCTCGACGTAAAGTCATATCCTCTGTCTCGATGGAATAGGTGATCGGCCGGCCTACCTGTGGCACACTATGGAATGAACCAGTTGTATGTAACCAATTCACAAATGCCGCGAATCACCAGTAAGAAGGAAGACGTCGATGGTTTTCAGGTCTTCCTGACACGTGGCGCTTGTCATAACGCCGCCGAACCGCAGCAAGATTACCGTCACAAGCACCGCCACACATTATCATCTCGTAATATTAGGCATTTGAGTACGAATTCATTGCACTGACCGCACACAAACATAATACACAGGTAAACAGAACGAGAATGAAAAACAAACCAAAAGTCCCGAAAGAACGAAAACGTAAGTTGACCTTCTAAATTCTGAAAACTCACAAGTACGCCGATGAAAGTCACGGACGCGACTGACGCGATGACCAAAACTACATAGGTTATTATTATTGCAACTCGAACACCAATGTACCTAAATCAAAAGTGTACCGATTTTGGGGTTCCGCGTCAAGAAATATTATTTATTATTAGACCTTTCCATTACAACTAACCTTTATTTAATTATCATTTAAACTAAGAATAAGAGAGATACTTAGATTATTAATATCATTGTATAAGTCCGTATTTTATTGTTTCGTGAAAATAACACGGCTTTATGAAAAAATTAACAAAACTTCAAAGCAAATAATCTACAGAACCTTACTGACACATCAGAAACCCGAGTTTCTCAATACACATCGTCGTCGATTTTATGTCTCTCTCGCTCCTTCTTGCATAGACTAATGTGAGCAATGGTGCAGATATTGAACTTCAATCAAAGTATTTGCAAATTCCTTTTTTATTTTGACTGTATTAATACAGAAGTTTTCATATTAATAGTTTTTGAAACACCGTTAATCACAAGATTAGTGTTTTTTTATAGTTAAAAGTCATTTACTACTAACTTTTTCTTTGTTTGGAAATAATAAATTCCTCTCAGATGCATATTTATTCTAGGCATTTATCTTTAGATTTATTTAACTTCTGTTATTTTTTAAACTAGTTCGGCACATGGAGTCGATGACCAAATACAACACAACAGCTGTTTTTAGGGTTGTCAGCGTACAGTTTTACTTCGAAGAAAAAAAGCTGAATATCTAGGTCATGTGCTGGGTTTCAGTCTTAGTGATCATTTTTCTGGGTTCTATTCATCATACCGTATGTGCCATATTCGGGATTATACAGGTATTACCAAACACGCTGTATAAATTGTGTAATGTTTACAAAAAATAATTTTATATTTTATTAATGTTTTGTGTGCAACTGTATTTGTATCTCAAAGTAATCGCTCGGCTAAAATATCTATTCTTACCCGTCGCAGGTTGGGTAGACGTCGCCGTAGCAAAACTCAACCCAGTTTGCGGCGTAGCAGCGGTCGTGGCACCGAAAGATAGCGTTGCTTGCGTAGCAGGTTGAGAAGCTCCAAAACCAGTTCCAGCTTGTAGCGGCTGTGCACTTCCAAAACCGGTTCCAGCTTGTAGCGGTTGTGCACTTCCAAAACCGGTTCCAGCTTGTACCGGTTGTGCTGCTGTCGCAGTACTAGTTCCGAAGCCGATACCAGTTGTTTGTGCTTTAAAAGTTCCTCCGAAAGTAGGCGTTGCCGTTGCCGTTCCGAATGCAGGGGCGGCCGTTTGTTGAGTTCCGAAACTGGGCGTTGCAGAACCGAAAGAGGGCGTGCTCTGTACTTGTGTTGTGGCGGGAGCGAAAGAGCTCGGTGATGCCGCCTGTTGGCCGAGAGAAAATCCTGATGCTGGAGTAGCAGCTCCGAATGTTGGCGCTAAAGAAATATAATAAAAAATATTTTATAAAAATACTAGTATTGTGAATGTGTCCAAGAAGTATTGTTTTGAGTTAGCTATGCTTTTTTAATCATAAAAAGAGGACCAACGTCTTTAGACTAAGTGACCACTAAATCTATAAAGGATCGTTCACGACGCTATAAAAACGTTTAAAAATAGTTTTAATTAACGATAATATAAGAAACAAGTAAGAAAAAATATTAAAAAAAGCAATTTCTTTTGCTCAATACAGGAAATCGTAATAGGCTGCGGTGTTCATTACTAATAAATTCTTCCCAGATATCTAACATTGTATCCGAAAAGAAATAAAACATAATTAATAAATAGCTGGTATAAATATAAATTATTAAATATTAGATAACATCACATACATTACGCATATGCTATGTAGCTAAACCGTTTATATTCTGGAAATTTTAAACAACTAGTTTTGTATTTATGGTATGGTCTGAACCAAAGACAATATAAAAGTTCATTTAAGTAAAATACAGTTAAGTCAATATACCTTGACCAGCAATTGAGCACTAGTCTTGAGAGATGGCGACATTTTGAACATGATATACTAGTTATGTGGCCACATCAAGTGACAAGATTGTTTATGTATACAAGTAACTGCGACTGCCAAAATTAAGACTTAAAAATAAAAGTAACAAGTTATATTATGGCTTGACTAAACAAAATTATCATTTTTTTAAATTTGATTTTGGCAGGCTTGTTCTATAATTTTTACATTATTTATTTTTATTTTATTTATTTTAGTGAACAGTTAATTACACCTTATTAAATTATATATTGAAATTATATATTGTTGAAATGTACTCATCAAGACACTTTTAAGACCCATATTGATACATATTTTGTTAATGACGTCATACATGCGCCATATTGAATATTTTAAAAATAAGTAGCCATCTGTCACTTAATGTTTCACTTAAAATTATATCCTATACATTCATATACTTGAAATATTTTAAAATTTATATTGAAATAAAGAAGCTCACACAAAACTTAACCCTAAATACAACACATTCTATTTTTGCAACAGAAATTCATCATCTGTTAAAAAAATCAAATTTCACGGTTCATGAGACAGTCTGGTGACAGACAGACAGACAGACAGCAAAGTCTTAGTAATAGGGTTCCCGTTTTACCCTTTGGGTATGGTACCTTAAAAAAGCCATTGCTTTATTATACTTTCCAAAATTATTTGTAAAAGCTAACTGCCTCAGGTCTTACCCGCACTAGTAGTGGTGGCAGCGCCGAAAGCGGGTGTAGTTCCGGTGGAGCCGCCGAAACTGAAGGACGAAGGTTTAGCGCCGAAAGCGCTCTGACCGAACGAGGCCGAAGCGCCGAAGCCCCCCCCACTAGCCGTGCTCGTGGTCGCGGTCAAAAAACTTGCGATTGTAGTCTGTGGCGTAGACATTGTGGTCGCCTATATTAAAAATATTCAGACATTAATATCTCTATTGCGATTCTATAGAAAATAAAATATTTAAGTTTTGGCTACTAGACTGTTCTGGGAAAGTATTTTAAAACTTTCATATGACCATATTAAACTACAGTGCAGATGCAGCCGGTACCAACGGCTTAACGTGCCTTTAAAGCACGGACGATTTTTTTATTTAGTTCGAGATAATACATTTTTGGTCACCCATCCTGTCGGTCATTGCGAAAGTTGCCTAACAACCGCATCGCAGACCGAGCGCTCTAGCTATCGAGCTCATCAAATACAACCAGGTGCCTAAGATTGAATTCGTAATTGTGACTTTCCGCTGGACAGGCAAGTATTCTACTAAAGGGATTAATGTGACAGCTTAATAATTCTATAATTATTTTAGTTTTCCCTTCACTTCGTCCGCATAAATTGTAACCTATTCACTTCTTCTACAGCTTACTGTAGGCGGAGGTATATATATATATATTAAATAAACAGCCCAGTAGATTCGAAAGCTATGTATCCTTGTTTTAGTTATATATTCAGAGTGAGAGGTACTCACTGTAACTGCTTGTGGTGCTGAGAAACCGGATGCAGGTGTTGAGAAACCGAACCCTGCTGAGGTGGTGCCAGTTTTTCCAAATGAAAATCCTCCACTAGCTGGGGAACCGAACGCTGTTGGTGCTACAATAACACACACAAACATGTAATTTTCATTTACTTATAACATATTAACAATTTGTTATATTTAAAACTATACTTTTTATTGGTGGCATAACATAAAAAAAAAATATTATATAAACTATGTATAATATTATACTAATACTAGCTGTTCCCACGATTTCGCACTAGTAAATTATAGCATATGTCAATCCCGTATGACGTAGCAACCCGTAGGTGAAAGAATTTTTAAAATATAATATAAATTAATATAATGTCAATATAAACATACAATCAAAGTTTCCCTCTTTATAATATTAGTATAGATGAATTTCATCCACACCAATATAATAAATGCAAAGGTAACTCTTCTGTTAATCTGTTTTTTATAAAATAAAATAAAATGTTATAGATCCACTATTCTAAAAATAATCATAATCAATATCCTTTAAATACCTTGCGTACCAAACGCAGGTGCTGCTTGTGGTTGAGCACCACCAAATGATAAATTTTGTGGGGCATTCTGTAAAATTAATTGTTAAGTAATATTAGACATCATTAAATAAATTGCCTAGTAAGCAAATTAGGTAGCTTTTAGAATTTAATAAAAAAAACTCTGTGTCAATAAACATTCACATTCAAACAAACATTGGAGATTAGATACAGTTTGTTGCTTCACTTTAAAAATAGCTTCACCATAAAATAAAGGGAAGAACCATCTCTGATCGCTGGTCACGCAATTAGTATATCTTAAAACAAATAATATTATCATCATAGCCAAATTCCAGGACAATCATCGGTTAATAAAAGCTCCAGCGACCTAACTACTAATACAGCGATTAATTAAATAAACAAGAGTACCAGCCCTGCAATTCTGTAAAAATCCAAACCCAAAGTCGAATTCACTCAGGTAATTCGCTTCGAAAATCGGCATCCGCTCAACCTTGAATTGGTTCGTGGCATAAGTAAAGTAAGTTTCGTCATTTCGAAACTTACTACTACTACTGACTTATAGGAATAGAATAGAATATGTTGTTTTGTAAATCAATAGAATTTCTTCACTAAATGACGTGAATACGGACTTATGAGTGAATTCGAATTCGGGTTCGGAGATTTACAGAATCGCTCTACAGGACAGACGGTGTGTCAGGTGAGCTGTTTGCATTGATTTAACATTCCCATACATATTGATGGTAAGTAAGAGGTAGTAACATATGTAAAAATACTTACTTGTTGTTGTGTAGCTTGCCCAAATGCTGGACTACCAACAGTCTGGTTAGGTGGTGAAGCGAAACCGAAGCTCAAGGGTTTACTTGCACCAAATGCTGAAGTTGAAGTAGTTGCTGGATTTGAAACTGAAAATTAATAATAATGGTACTCATTAAACAATTACGTTTAGTAACCAGACTTTTACGAAATATCAAGCCGTTAAATGTTCCATTCTCAAAAACAAAAACAATTACAGACAGAATACATTCCTATTACGAGCAGGTTAAGTCCTTTAATGATTTGAGCACGATTTTGGATCTGGATCTTTTTAACTCTAGTTGTGAGTCAATAAGGACCAAGATGTCAAAAATATTTTTTGAAAGTACAAGCAAACGATTATCCGATAAATAAGGAAAAAAGAAGAAATGTATTGTTTACGTGTGTCCTTTGTGTAATATGTGTCTTTTGTCATACCTCACAACTACCGAGTGAACTCAAAATTGTTACCTAATTTTAAGGCTAACTGTGTGGATCTATAATTGGTTATCTGATTTATGTAACAATACTGTAAGTTCATTTATGCAACCGTTGATCTACCGTGAAAAATAAAATAAAATAAAACAATTCTTTTATTAAGTAGTGTAGGGAGAAAATAGTTAGTCTTAAAAAATCATGTACACTAATATGATATATGCAAAATTGTATGTTATTAAAATTTGATATAAAAATGATTTAAGGCTTACAGAAGGACATTCATCTATTCACACATAATACAGAAAATGGTAGGTATAATAATAAATAGGCAGTGCAAAACTGTTACCTAAGTTCATTTTAAGGTTTGTTTTAAACAGACAAATTCCTCAATTACTGCTTAAAATAATTAATGGTATTTAAAAGAAATCTAGAAATAACTGTAGCAAATATCAAAGAATCAATATTGTAAAATAGTATTTTTGAAAATAAACTATATCTTCATGAAATAGATAAAAACAGTGTTGAATCATTTATAGTTGAAAAGATTGTAAAATATATTATACATATAACACCTTTTCCTAAACAGATAAAGACTAATCAAAACAAACCAACCTTTTTTCTTTGGAGTGTGTGTCATTGTTACGACTATCACAAATATAAAACACTGCAATTATTAATAAAAATACAAAATATCTAATAAAAATATTGAATTAATCAATCAATTGAATTTTGAAAATACATAAACTTCAAATTGTTAACTTAAAAACGATTATGATTAAATTATTGAAGGTAGAACTGAACTATTTCATTTGAGAAATACCTTTGGTTTTTATCAAGATAAAAGTTACTGTTACCTAGCACCAATAGATGGCTTTGATTTTTATTTTCTCAGCAAATGATGATGTCCATGGATATTCTTTAATAGTAATAATGTTAACTGTTTAAAGGTACATATAATTGAAGGAATCTTTTATGCAGTAACTCTATTTCAGTTAATCCTTATTTAGTAAATGCTGTCAATTATTTTTCCATATTATTATTTTTTAAATTACATACCAACATAATTATTAATTTAGATAAAGAAACATTTACAAAACATGCCTTACACACATACTTACAGATTTAATTAATAATATTAAAATTGATGTTGCCAATGATTTCTTTTTAATAGTTTCTATACTTTTTATATCTTCATTTCATTAAGAATAGTAGTAATTTGTTGTATGTCATTATTGAATATATTATGAACTTGTGGAATTTTAATTTGAATACTCTTATGTGGACTGAAATAGATTACATTTAAATGTGCTTGTAAATTTTATTTTTAAGATAGTCGGTTGATTACTTACACATATTAGTGGCAGCAGCTGCAGTAGTGGTTTTAGCTCCAAATGCAAAGCTTCCAAAAGCTGGAGCGTTAGTTGTGGGACTGGTGAAGTTAAATGCAGGTTTGTTTTCTAGAATTCAATATGAGATTTATGAATTAGTAATCCCATACATTTATAAATGTCATGAAATTATGCTAGTGGAATATAAATTGTTTCAAACATTATACTGATCTTTGTGAACACTTAAAGTTCATAGTTTTTAATATATCTCTGAAGTTCATATTTTTTATTCTATCCTATATAATATATTTATATCTATACATATAAAAAAAATGAACTTCAGAGACTCGGACGAGAAAAGTATACATTATGTGTTATGTATGCACTATGTACTTTGAGGTTGGATTATGATAGAATTGATTCATCTTGGTTTGACTAAGTAATTAATTTAAAATTCATATTCACACAATTGACTTTTCTTTGACATGTTTAGCAAATAATAATTTTATCATTAAACTTTTTATACAATATGTATTCTTAATAACTAAGTATAAATCTTGGTAGAAATTTCAATAAGTACCAGTGTTAGATGTACCAAATAATGGTTTTGCTGCATCACCACTTCCAAATGCAAATCCTGAAATAAAATGTAATTGTCGAGCTTGTTAAGTGTAAGTAAAATATTTAGTACTGTACATTTAGTATGATAAGAATGTTATACTCCAAAACTGCTTCAAAAACATAACTAGTAATGAATGTAGTGACAAAAAAATTAGGTTATGTCGGATCTTGCGACTGGTGTGCAAATACTATATCTTACGAAAAATTAAGTAAATATACCCGATTATATTAAGAGAATTCAAAATAATAATTGGATTTGTACAAGTGAATAATATAATAGCATACCTGTTGAAGGAGTTGTGGTACCAAAGGTACTGCCTGAAGTTGTCGTTGTGTTACCAAAGGTAAAACTCATGGCTATTATTTAAGATCAATTTCAAAATTTATTTGATGATTTGTCTTCACTTGATACTATTAATATAAGTTTATTAACAACGATAAAAATAATCTCAATTAAAACTGTCAATGAACGATTGTCAACAAATAAATGCCGCTATTTATTAGTTATAATAGTCATGCATTTAAAGCAAAGGGGTCTTAGTCCATACAGCCTAACTTAATCTTTTATAATTTATATTGTAAAGAAGAATCTATAAGTGATAATTATTTATTATTCTTTAAATTCATATTCAAATTTATACAGCCATTTACACATGTATTTGTGTTTCGTTAGGCGGCATTTATTTGTTTTTTTTTTCCTCTGTTTGTCCTATTTACGTCACCCAGTATAAAAAATGGAAAACTTGAAATATCGTGTTATTTACGAGTACGAGTTCCACCGTGGTACCAGTGCTGCGGAGACGGCTCGAAGGGTTAATGATGTGTTTGGCGGTTGGGTCGCAAAAGAAAACACAGTGCGTTTTTTGTTCCAACGTCGGCAATGAAGGATTTTTAAATCGAATCATTACCTGTGATGAAAAGTGGATTCTCTACGATAAACGGAAGCGCTCATCACAATAGTTGGACCCTGGCATGCTAGCCTAATCCTGCCCCAAGCGAAAATTGACCCAAAAAAGTTCTTTGTAAGCGTTTGGTGGACTAGTGCCGGTGTCGTTCATTATAGTTTTCTCAAATCTGGCCAGTCAATTACGGCAGACGTCTATTGTCAGCAATTGCAAACCATGCTGGAAAAACTAGCTGCTAAACAACCGAAGCTGATCAATCGCTCTACGCCACTGCTACTTCACGACAACGCTAGACCACACACTGCACAACAGACGGCAACAAATTAGAAGAGCTTCAATTGGAATGTTTAAGACACTCCAACATTCGACACCGTACTCTTCGGACCTTGCTCCAACATATTACCATTTTTTTCGAAATTTGAAACTTCTTGCAAGGGAAAAAATTCAATTGCGATGGGGCAGTGCAAATCGCCTTCAAAGATTTTATTGATTCCCGTCCGAATTGTTTCTATTTGTAAGGGGATCAATGAACTACCTATAAGTTTTCAAAAGTGCATAGATCACAATGGTTTATACTTTGATTAAATAACTATATTATCTATATTAAAAATTATTCGACTTTTTGTTCCTCCCATTCCAAACACCAATTTCATATGTACGGACCTAATTTATGCGTGCCTCAACAATTATTTCTAATTGTTGAGGCACGCATTTTACTTGCCTAAAAGATCAACTTAATAGAGTGTTTTCTTGTTAGGTACCGATCATTTTAATAAAATATTTATGAAATTTTAATGTAGTTACTTTTTGTTTGCTTAACTTGTTTAAGCCTATGTGTATATAGTTCTTCCAATAGGTTGCCTTGATTATACCTATATAGGTATAATAGTATTTATAAAAGTGTGTATAATATTAATACATTAGTACTAATAATATTATGAGGGTACCTATTAGGAAGAATATGTGGTACATAATTGTTATATTTGATCAATTTTTCATTCACAATACTGTACTGCTAAATGTTCGTGATGAAAATGCTTAAATAATTATGTTGGCCAGCACACGGTTTCAAATTATGATAACAAATATCAAAAACAGAAAAGAAAGGCATTCATAAAAATCAAAAGTAAAATTTGTGTGGCGGAAAATACAGGAAATATTATATATATTCATATTATTAAAAGGTAAAATTTATAACTTTGTTTGTTTTTTGGGGGTAATTTTCAGAAATACTGATCCGATCATGAAAATTCTTTCACCTATGAGTAGGGTTGTCAGAGGGCCGGAATTATGGGGATTGTCTCGGAATTTTGCGTTTTGTCCCGTGTCCAGTAATTTTACTTTGCTGTCCCGGAATAAAAAAATACTAGTTTTTTCTTTCACAGAGTTACGATACTACTTCTGCAAAGTCAAACCAAACGTAGCGTACTCGCAGAGACTGGATGTAAAATATTTATCAACATGAATGCACTGTCTTCACCCTCAACGAGCAAAAAGAGATTCACGGGCTTGATCTTGCTTTTAAAAACTGGAATGCGAAAAAAAATAGTTTACAGCAGTTTGCAGAATACGTAACACAGAAAACCACAGAACTCCGCGCGATTATACAGTAAGCTATTGTTCCTACCAATTAAATATATATTTTCTTATAATAAAACTGAAGAGAATGCTTGTTGTTTGAACTCTATAATATCAGGAACTACTGTTTAGCCTCTGATCGGAGGCCAAAACTGATTCCGTTCGTGACTCCATAAATATCTAGAAATTGATCAGCCTGGATCTGGCAACACTACCTAAGGGATGGGAACATAGAATAATAGTACTCCTAAGACGGGAAGCTACATCATACGCGGGTGATATAGTTTATAATTTAAGTGGGGTTATTAAAAGTCATGGGAAAACAGCCAGTACCTATTTAGGTAATTTGTGCAATTCCTCTGTTACAACAAGTATGCATTTACAAAGTGAGTAAGCCCTACACTACAACAGTAAAAGCACTCAAATCGGTTTAAACAGCCCAAATCTAGGTCTGGCAATATGCCAGCTGGGGGCGATAGCAGCAAATCATCGCCGCCTATTCTATGTAAACGACGTGTAAACAAGCCAGATTGTAAAGAATGATGCGCAACGGATTTATACTATGAGACTGTAAGCTGTATGAATGTTATAAATAGAACGTAACTGAACAATAATAGATATTGAAACTCCTTTTTCTTGTTATTTCGTCAACAAAAAGTAGCCAAGCTGTGCGGTTTATATGCGGTATTGGATTTCCTTGTTGCATCAGTCGACTAAAGCGCTTGTATTGGCCAATGAGACTAATAAATCGATTTTATAATTTATGCATAAGTATTATTGTAGGTATCTACGTGATTTCAAGTAGTGTTCTTTACTACCGAGACAAAATGACAATTTCCAATAAGCACACATGACCATTTAGATTATTAAAATATCGCTGACTGGTCGTGCTGCAAGTTGAATTCTGTGCAGCTTATCGTACCCCCAGATTCCTTCTCAGTTACCTGGGCCCATCTGACGCGAGAGGGCACACCGTAGGGGTTTACTTGGTAATAAAAATAGTTTGTTTCAGGATATCCCATATAAAACATTACATCGTGTCTAACTTGTTAAACAATAATTAAAATGAATACTCAGATTTCTCATCATTCAAAAACACTTTTCTGAAATATATAAATTGTATGATATACAGTCGTAATAATTTTATTTTTAGAAGAAGATACTCTTATATGAAATGAATATTTTAGATGTCTGATTAAATCATTTAGGCGATTAACATTATTTTCAGTATACATTTCAGTGGCGCTGCACCTTCACGGTAGGCCGATTAACGCTCTAAACGAGTTGATTTGTACATGAAGAGTGTTGAAAGCACCTTTCGTATAGTTGCTCCAAAGTGAGCTTGTGTATAAAGCTTGACAATATGCTTTGAAGGGAATTATTCAAACCTGACTTGAACAATGGGCAAACCGTTTAGCCAACATATTACTTCTCGTTACAATCGAACGCCTTTGTCTAGAACGACAACAGAGCCTTCTTTATTTTTTAAATTATTTGTTATAATATGTCTTAAGATTTAAAATTGGTTACAACAGATAAAGGACTATTACATAGAGTAACTATAGGAATTTCACAAGAAGAGGAATCCGATTGAAATGCCATTTTTACAGATATCTTAACATGTTAAGTAAGGCCATGCGAGTGCGCGTAATTTTCACATATTCTTATAAGTTTACACAAACCTGTAATATGCTTGATGAGTTTTGATCAGCTTATTTAATTTAATTTCCGAGCAGTTTAAGAGCCCAAGACAATCCCGGCAGTATTACCAAAAAAAGTCCATCTTATAGTATCTATAGGTACATTTCATAAGTTTATTATATAATACTAGGCTTCATAACAGTGTATTTTATAAGGAAGAAAGATTTGATTGTTTGTTTGATAGGCTCGGAAAATACTGTATAGATTTTAAAAATTCTTTCAGCTACGGGAAGCTACATCATACATAGACTATAATTTACGCGTGCGAAGTCGCAGGAAAACAACAAGCGACTTATAATTTAGAATTTCTGTTAATATTTAGGTTCAACAAAAATTCGAATGCTTATAATTTTGAAGTAAATAAAAGCGCAAGATTGTTTACATCGATAAATATGTATGTATGTGTATAAAAAGTCCATCTATTAATTTTTAAACGTCGAGGTCGATAAGCAATTTGATAACATGGAAGGCTATAATAAAACCAATTAAAATTTAGGAGATAAATAATTTAATTACACGTATACAAATTAACAACCAATATTAAAACCTCACCTGTCACATACTACGACGAATTAGATATTGATTTTATGTTCCTATGACCATGTGGTTTAAAAGTAGGAATACAAAATTGTGATGGCATAAAATATTCTATTTTAAATTATTCGAATAAGAAAATTACACACATTAAAATAAATCAAGAACATAGAAACAAGTTAAGCTCCAAATTTATTTTGAGTTCAGAATACAATGTATGTTGAATTCAATCTAACTGACTACATTCAGTTGCACAAACATTCATTAATGTTTAATGACACCTTTAAGCTCTAATGAATGTCAAATTTGTATGGGTAATGTTGCTTTAAAGTAATGAAAATAATGGACGTTTGTGCAACTTCCTGTAAATATCGAATTTAATAAAAAAAAATATATATAATTTATACTTAATGTCGTTACAAACAATTTCGTTACGCGATAAAATTTAATGGCCTTCAGTTAATTAAGAACGAAGTGTATAACAATAGACAATATGAAACTTCTTAAACAATATTATATCTCGGTCTAGGTACAAAGGGCACAGGATTGGCATCTGGTGACAGCAACAGTCGGACGTTTACGTTCGCTCGTCTCCATCTGTTCCACATAACGTAATGGTCCTTCCATAGAAGATAAA